TATCATTATTTCCACAGTTTTTTTGTTCAAACATATACACATAGTGAAAGTTGGCCACCGTAAAAAAACTGAGTACACCATGACTACCCCAATTGATTATTATTTCTTGATTTTCCTTCTTTTATATGCATGTCTGATCTCTGATTTATCCATATATATGTTGGCCGACAGAAAACGGTCGAATCTTAGTGCTGCTGCCCCATGAACACATTTTTTTAATTTGACTGTACATTCAAATGAAGCCTTAGTTAAGTATACACTCCAAAATTCAGTTAATAGTAGCCTAACTGAATTTTCTGTTTCTGAATTTATAAACTCGCTTTATATTCTTATAAATTAACAGTAGTTTCAAAATTAATTCTTCAAGCCTACCTATAGCCACTTGAACAGATGTCTATCTCAGATCTGCTCATCTAAAAAATGCAAGTGGAGTAGTATACTGGTAGTATAGTATAATAATATTATCAAAAGGTAAATGTCCTGATTATTTAGCTCTGTCAGATAAATACTCGTCGAAAGTGGGCTCCTATCAAAATTCATTTCCATTATAATCTTACTCATACAATATTCACACCATGTAATTCTGGAAATATATGCCCATATCTACTTCTGCATAAAAAATGACAGTATTGACATGTTATAAATAGTTTGTTTGTCTTTCTGTTTATTTTGTTACATTTTGCAGGGATAAAGTGAAGAAAAAGAAGAAAAGATTACTAGAAGATTAGTTTTAGGATTTTCTTTTATTTCCTTGCAATTTTCCTTTTATTGGATACTTGTAAAGACATTGTAATATTCTTACTATAATAAAAATTATGATTCTATTTCATTTTTGTTTTTAAATTACTTTTCCTTATAGGTTGTTTTCTGTAAATTTGGATTTTTTTGTTTTCCAAATACATTACTAGTGGCGCATTTAAACCCTTATTAGTGGCGCACCTTCCTTTAATTATTACTAGTGGCGCACCTATAAGGCTATTAGTGGCGCACCTGGAGGGAATACCAGTGAAGCACCTAAGGGTTAGTAGTGGCGCACCTTGCGCCACTGGTATTTGGATTACCAATGGCGCATCAAAGGTGCGCCATTACTAACAATTACTAATGGCGTGTTAATAGTGGCGCACCCATAGTGCGCCATTAATAGCAATATGTGGTGCGCCACTAATAGTCTTTTTTCTAGTAGTGCACAGTGGTCCTAGATGCATCCACATAGCCATGGTACACTCTATGCGACTTTAATTTGCCAAGTGGCCAGCAACTCTATTTTGATTCCTACTCAGTTTCCGGGAATAAACTCCCTATCCCTCATCAGCGCCTTAATTTCAGCAACGAGATGTCCATAGGCTGAACGATTTAATCCGTCCCCTGAAAAACTTGATAGAGCCACACTAGCAATGCTCATTCAAGGGAAACGTGAAGATATATTCTTCCCTTTTATAGGCGGACAAGGAAAACGGGAAGAGATCTTCTTGCGTTGCCACGAGCTGTGAAGGTATGCATGTTCTAAACAGAACAGAGACTGTATAAAGATATTCTTATGCAAATAACGATGTGCAATCTGATGATTCAGAAACGCAGATGTGGGTGGGATATACAGGTACCTATTTCCTCCAGACAATACATGCAATGTTTTTTCTAGAGATATTATGTTATAGTGTATGATAAAGCATAATATTCCAGGGAACAAGTATATTTGAATTATAACTACTTGCCTCCCAGCTGAAGCTTTTAACCTGTATGCAATCCATGCCGTGCAAATTACTACTCTCATGTATGTTGTTTGTATCTCCTTTGCTATAGATAGCTCAAGTTTTATGTGTTGTGTTACTAGAACCATACCGCGTGTAACAGGAAGCACTTGCTGATCTTGATTTGTTTTCAGATTATCTCTTTACTCATGATCATGGTTTCGCTAACCAATACTACATTAAGTCTTCACTTTCTACAGACCAATTCCAGCAGCATTTCACGAATCAATCAGTAGCACAAATTTTTGAGATGGATCTATGCACTTATGTATTGTTGTTCCAGAAGTGCCAGGTGCCTATGTTACTTTGCACTGTAACTGCATGTGAGTATGATATGGACCTGACATGTGTGTACGTATCCCAACTGCACTAGATTATTTGAACAATTTACATATACCTTTTTTATAAGGTCATGATAGTACCCTAAATTTTTGTCCAATATAACTTGGTTATATGTACTGATAGAGATCTTATTTTGATCATAAACTTAACATTCTTCCTTCCAAAACATTTAGGATCCTAAAAGGAGAAGGATGTCATCAGTGGTGGATATTTGTAACATTTGTGGTAGTACCACAAATATACCCCCCTGCCCCCCGCGCGGGTGCGGCGTGCTGCTGCGCTTTTGGACTCTTCCTCCCACTTCTCTCTCTGCTATGTATTGAACTCTTTATTAGCATATGATGTTTAAGATACATACAGCAAGCACAAGCAAAACTGAACAGTTCACAACCTAACTAACAAGGGGCACTTGCACTAAGCCACTAATGACGGGCACACTGTACGGGCGTGGCCCGTGCCTCTGCCTCCTAGTTGTAATGATAAACACGCAACACACACCATTCTAACAAGCACACCACACCAACAAAAAAAGGCATACCACACAGAGACTTACATGCAGTGGCGGCGCCAGCCACAATAATCTTTTGGTCAATGGTATTTTTTCTATTTTTTCATCATGATAAACACTAAAATCCGCGGGGTCGGCTGCCCACAGCTTCTTACACTTAGGTTGTGTTTGGTTGAGCTGCAGATTCTGTAAAAACTGCTGTGAGCTGTGAGCTGTGAAAAAGCTGCTGTGAACTTTCTGCTATGGAAAAGCTGGAAGCCGTTTGGTTGAAACATCTGTGGAACCATAGATTTGGTTGTGAATGTTCTGTAATGCCCCTTAGGTCATAGTGAAATGTGTTAATTTACTAGTTGACCGTAGAGCAGTTATATGTATATGGTAGGCAACTGAACAACCATTTTGCAAAGGAAAATTATGAGAATAAGATGATTCATATCTAACACATACGCAATTTAATGATTATGCTTTGATGTTTCATACATCCAAACAGATAGTTACGCCATAATATTATTATGGAAGACATGGAGCACATGCAAAACACATATGGTTCACATGATGATGACCTTCATCGACATAACTAACCTATCTTGCCATCGCAAGACAAGCATCAGCTATCCTACTACGAATATTGTTCATGGTATCTTCGTTCTCCTCTTCTTCAACGGGATCTGCTTGTGTTGGTGCCACCTCCTTTCGTAGCACTGGAGGTAAATACTCATCATCGGCATCACATTTATCAAAAACTTTGTCACTCAACTTGCTATCACGAATGAAATTGTGCAATGCCATGCCATGCAAGCAATGATGATATGCTTCTGTGTACGAGGTGAGAAACTTGGGACCCCTTTCAAGATGCACCATTTTTGCTTGAGTACTCCAAAAGCACGCTCAACAATATTTCAAAGGGATGAATGTGAACAGTTAAACAACTCATACTTCCCTTCAGGTGGACGGTGACGGCGAAGACAAAATTTCGGCAGATGGTATGTACTCCCCTTAAAAGGAGCAAGGTAACCCGTTCGGTTTGGATACCCAGAGTCCACAAGGTAGTATTTCCCTGAAAAAGAAAACAAAGTTAGCATCGCACATAAGAATATAATTAATGATGACATATGTCAGTACATTATACCTTTGGGAGGTATATGAAATGAGGGAAGTGTGCTAATGCGTGATTCAAGACCCATGTATCATGTGCACAGCCCGGCCAACCCGCAACCACAAAGGTAAACCTCATGTCAAAGTCACATACTGCAAGCACATTCTGAGATGTAAAACCATGTCGGCATCTATGGTTAACCGCATCATCTGCAGGCACTGAAACTGGCACATGTGATCCATCTATGGTACCAATAGCACCTTTGAAATGAGGCCAGAAACGCTCTTCCTTAATCTTTTCATGCTCATGGCTAAAAGTAGGATCTGTAGGTTTGGTGTTATCTTTCGCTAACTTGCGCAAACATAACAAAACTTCCTTAAACTTTGTATAAACTGTCCAAAGTGACCGTATAAAATGATTCTCGGCTTGAGCAAATGATTGAGGGCCTCCAACAATCCATAAGAACATGGCCAGTGACTCAATTGATGAAACATTAGTGGTTGATGTCAACCCATATGTAGAGACAAGCAAATCATGAAGTGCCATGAAAACATCAGTGCCCATTCGAAACATTTTATAGAAATATCTAGGTCGACTGTAACACTCCATGACCCATTGGAGTCCTGTTTGCTGAGGCATTCTGTATGTTTTGTTCAAGTATCGCTCAACATAGAGGTTACCTAGGTTTCCCATGATAGCACCCTGCTTCACAAGTTTAGCTAGAAGTTTCATTCCCTCTTGTCCCTTTATGGCAACTTCTTCCATCCTTTCATCCATATACATAAGAATATAAATCTGTTAAAATATTCATGGTCATAACATAAATATGGTCAAACTACACGAGCAAATATTTCTCACAACATAAATATGGTTAACAACACGAGCAAATATTTCTCACACAACATAAATATGGTTAATAGCACAAGCAAATATTTCTCACAACATAAATATGGTTAACAATACGAGCAAAAATTTCTCACAACATAAATGTGGTTACCAACACGAGCAAATATTTCTCACAACATAAATGTGGTTACCAACACGAGCAAATATTTCTCACAACAAAAATATGGTTACCAACACGAGCAAATTTTTCTCACAACATAAGTACGGTAAACCAACATAAGCAAATATGGTCCATGACAAAACCAAATACATCCACAACGAAAACAAATATGGTCCACAACATAACCAAATTTGGTCCACAACGAAAGCAAATATAGGTCTATAACATAAACGAACATGATTCACTACACGTGCTTCAACATCTCCTTCTCATGCTCTCTCTCCAAAAAACAAACCTCCCTTATTTTGTTTCAAGAACATTGAAGATTTCCCTAAACTCGGGTTTCACAATAAGAGTGAGGGTTGTGTGCATTAGAGCAGTTTTTTCCTTCACACCACATTCTTTGACCATCTTCATGACTTCTGAAATGGTAGGGACATGATTTGTTGGAGGAGCGGATGATGCTTCAACACTTGAAGTTATCTTCTCCACTCCACTTTCTATTTTCTCGCATGTCTGCTTGTACAATCGTAAGAATGGACTCTTCTCTTCCTTCTCCTCATTTGCATTAGAAGGTTGCTTGCGCTTCTTGCTTGGTTTTGGTTTCGTCGAAGATGCCTCCTTCATTTCAGCAATATCATTGGGTTTCTCCAAAGGAACTCCATTATCATCACTTGATTCATCAGAAGATATATCTCCAGCACAAGAAGCACTGGCCGTAGTAACATGTACTTTGTCAAATATGACGTGTAAATCTTCAAGGTGCTTTGGTCCCTGTTTTTTGAACTTCATATGATTGCATTTCTTTCCTGTACTCTCTTGGCATCTCTGAAATGGATTTTAATGTACAAGTGAGATACTGCAGTCATATAGAACCATGCCAAATAAAAACCAAAATGGCTAGTCCTACCTTGACATGTTCATCCCACCATTCTTTAGAGCAATCAACAGTTCTCTTTGCATCAACCCATCCAAGCCCAGTTGCTTCATTTTTCAACTCCATGAACCAAGTGTACTCATTTTTTATGGCATCCCACTTGTTCTTGAATTTACCCTTGGGATACTTCTTTCCCGTTCTTGCTTCCCATTTCTCCAACACGTTTGCCCAACCCTTCTTATTTAAATAACCTAATGGCCTATTCCCTTTTTCAACCTCTTCTCTCAATATGTCAATGAGTTTCTTCAGATGGGCATCATCCCTCACTGCCTTCTCAGTCATACTTCAATAAAGCAATATGAGAAAAGTACATCAAGAACAATCCATTACATAATATCAAAAAAATCACCCGACGCGTAGCAATATGCCACAAGTACTCAAATAGTATGTATAAGTAACAAACAGAATATGTATGTACAAGAAATTTTTGTGAATGTTGTTTGCTGTCCTTATAGATGGCATGTCATACAAGCTTATACATGAATTAAAAAATTAGTTATATCATGTTCAGCTTCTGTAAATATTATGTATACAAGCAGTTAAACATTATCTTCTGTAGATATTATGTATACAAGCAATTAAACATTACATAAACAAAATTGTACAAAAAAAATCTAAGAAACCTGAACAAGGGATGGGAATAGGGAGGGTGAGGAGGAAGGAGAGGAGGTGGGTGGGTAGGAGGGACCAGGGAATTGGGGAGGGGGGCTAGGAGGAAGAGGTGGGCTAGAAGGGACGAGCAGGGAGGAGGATGGAGGGAGGATGGAGGGAGGATGAAGGAAGAGGGGAGTGTTGGGGAACGTAGTAATTTCAAAATTTTCCTACGCACACACAAGATCATGGTGATGCATAGCAACGAGAGAGGAGAGTGTGATCTACATACCTTGTAGATCGACAACGGAAGCATTTGGTTGATGTAGTCGTACGTCTTCACGTCCCGATCGATCAAGCACCGAAACTACGGCACCTCCGAGTTTTAGCACACGTTCAGCTCGATGACGATCCCCGGACTCCGATCCAGCAAAGTGTCGGGGAAGAGTTCCGTCAGCACGACGGCGCGGTGACGATCTTGATGCACTACTGCTGCAGGGCTTCGCCTAAGCACCGCTACAATATTATCGAGGACTATGGTGGCAGGGGGCGCCGCACACGACTAAGAATAAGATCACGTGGATCAACTTGTGTTCATGGGGTGCCCCTTGCCTCAGTATATAAAGGATGGAGGAGGAGGAGGCCGGCCAAGGCTAGGTGCGGCCAGGATGTGGAGTCCTACTAGGACTCCAAGTCCTAGTAGGAGTCCACCAAGAGGGGAGGAAGGGAGAAGGAAGTGGAGGAGAAGGAGAGGTGGCCGGCCCCCTTTTCCCTAGTCCAATTCGGACTAGAGGGGAGGGGGGGGGGGGCGCAGCAGCCCCTTGGCCCTTTTTCCTCTTCCCACTAAAGCCCATCAAGGCCCATTGCTTCTCCCGTAACTACCCGGTACTCCGAAAAATACCTGAAGCACTCAGAACCTTTCCGATGTCCGAATATAGTCGTCCAATATATCGATCTTTACGTCTCAACCATTTCGAGACTCCTAGTCATGTCCCCGATCTCATCTGGGACTCCGAACTCCTTCGGTACATCAAAACTCATAAACTCATAATATAACTGTCATCGAAACCTTAAGCGTGCGGACCCTACGGGTTCGAGAACAATGTAGACATGACCGAGACACGTCTCCGGTCAATAACCAATAGCGGGACCTAGATGACCATATTGGCTCCTACATATTCTACGAAGATCTTTATCGGTCAGACCGCATAACAACATACGTTGTTCCCTTTGTCATCGGTATGTTACTTGCCCGAGATTCGATCATCGGTATTCCAATACCTAGTTCAATCTCGTTACCGGCAAGTCTCTTTACTCGTTTTGTAATACATCATCCCGCAACTAACTCATTAGTTGCAATGCTTGCAAGGCTTTAAGTGATGTGCATTACCGAGAGGGCCCAGAGATACCTCTCCGACAATCAGAGTGACAAATCCTAATCTCGAAATACGCCAACCCAACATTTACCTTTGGAGACACCTGTAGAGCTCCTTTATAATCAACTAGTTACGTTGTGACGTTTGGTAGCACACAAAGTGTTCCTCCGGCAAACGGGAGTTGCATAATCTCATAGTCATAGGAACATGTATAAGTCATGAAGAAAGCAATAGCAACATACTAAACGATCGGGTGCTAAGCTAATGGATTGGGTCATGTCAATCACATCATTCTAATAATGATGTGATCCCGTTAATCAAATAACAACTCTTTTGTTTATGGTTAGGAAACATAACCATCTTCAATTAACGAGCTAGTCAAGTAGAGGCATACTAGTGACACTTTGTTTGTCTATGTATTCACACAAGTATTATGTTTCCGGTTAATACAATTCTAGCATGAATAATAAACATTTATCATGATATAAGGAAATAAATAATAACTTTATTATTGCCTCTAGGGCATATTTTCTTCAGTCTCCCACTTGCACTAGAGTCAATAATCTAGTTCACATCGCCATGTGATTTAACAGCAATAGTTCACATCACTATGTGATTAACACCCATAGTTCACATCGATATGTGATCAACACCCAAAAGGGTTTACTAGAGTCAGTAATCTAGTTCACATTGCTATGTGATTAACACCCAAAGAGTACTAAGGTGTGATCATGTTTTGCTTGTGAGATAATTTTAGTCAACGGGTCTGCCACATTCAGATCCGTAATTATTTTGCGAATTTCTATGTTAACAATGCTCTGCACGGAGCTACTCTAGCTTATTGCTCCCACTTTCAATATGTATCTAGATCGAGACTTAGAGTCATCCAGATCTGTGTCAAAACTTGCATCGACGTAACCTTTTACGATGAACCTTTTTGTCACCTCCATAATTGAGAAATATTTCCTTATTCCATTAAGGATAATTTTGACCACTGTCCAGTGATCTACTCTTAGGTCACTATTGTACTCCCTTGCTTAACACAGTGTAGGGTATACAATAGATCTGGTACACAGCATGGCATACTTTATAGAACCTATGGCTGAGGCATAGGGAATGACTTTCATTCTATTTCTATCTTCTGCCGTGGTCGGGCTTTGAGTCTTACTCAATTTCACACCTTGCAACACAGGTAAGAACTCTTTCTTTGACTGTTCCATTTTGAACTATTTCAAAATCTTGTCAAGGTATGTACTCATTGAAAAAACTTATCAAGCGTCTTAGTCTATCTCTATAGATCTTGATGCTCAATATGTAAGCAGCTTTACCGAGGTCTTTCTTTGAAAATTCCTTTCAAACTCTCCTTTATGCTTTGCAGAATAATTCTACATTATTTCTAATCAACAATATGTCATTCACATATACTTATCAGAAATGTTGTAGTGCTCCCACTCACTTTCTAGTAAATACAGGCTTCATCGCAAGTCTGTATAAAACTATATGCTTTGATCAACTTATCAAAGCGTATATTCCAACTCCGAGATGCTTGCACCAGTCCATAAATGGATCGCTGGAGCTTGTATATTTTGTTAGCACCTTTAGGATTGACAAAATCTTCTTGTTGCATCACATACAACTCTTCTTTAATAAACCTATTAAGGAATGCAGTTTTGTTTATCCATTTGCCAGATTTCATAAAATGCGGCAATTGCTAACATGATTCGGACAGACTTAAGCATAGATACGAGTGAGAAACTCTCATCGTAGTCAACACCTTGAACTTGTCGAAAACCTTTTGCGACAATTCTAGCTTTGTAGATAGTAACACTACTATCAGCGTCCGTCTTCCTCTTGAAGATCCATTTATTTTCTATGGCTTGCCGATCATCGGGCAAATCCATCAAAGTCCATACTTTGTTCTCATACATGGATCATATCTCAGATTTTATGGCCTCAAACCATTTCGCGGAATCTGGGCTCATCATCGCTTCCTCATAGTTCGCAAGTTCGTCATGGTCTAGTAACATGACTTCCAGAACAGGATTACTGTACCACTCTGGTGCGGATCTCACTCTGGTTTACCTACGAGATTTGGTAGTAACTTGATCTGAAGTTACATGATCATCATCATTAGCCTCCTCACAAATTGGTGTAGTAGTCACAGGAACAGATTTCTGTGATTAACTACTTTCCAATAAGGGAGCAGGTACAGTTACCTCATCAAGTTCTACTTTCCTCCCACTCACTTCTTTCGAGAGAAACTCCTTCTCTAGAAAAACTCCGAATTTAGCAACAAAAGTCTTGCCTTAGGATTTGTGATAGAAGGTGTACCCAACAGTCTCCTTTGGGTATCCTATGAAGACATATTTCTCCGATTTGGGTTTGAGCTTATTAGGATGAAACTTTTTCAAATAAGCATCACAACCCCAAACTTTAAGAAACGACAACTTTGGTTTCTTGCCAAACCACAATTCAGATTGTGTCGTCTCAACGGACTTAGATGGTGCCCTATTTAACGTGAATGCAGCTGTCTCTAATGCATAACCCCAAAACGATAGTGGTAGATCGGTAAGAGACATCATAGATCGCACCATATCTAATAAAGTACGGTTATGACATTCAGACACACCATTATGCTGCGGTGTTCCAGGTGGCATGAGTTTGTGAAACTATTCCACATTCTTTTAATTGAAGACCAAACTCGTAACTCAAATATTTGTCTCCGCGATCAGATCGTAGAAACTTTATTTTCTTGTTACGATGATTTTCCACTTCACTCTGAAATTCTTTGAACTTTTCAAATGTTTCAGACTTATGTTTCATCAAGTAGATATACCCATATCTGCTCAAATCATCTGTGAAGTTCAGAAAATAATGATACTTGCCGT